GTGTGGAGAAAGAGGGCTTATTTCTCACTTCTGTCCAGTTGGGTTGAAGGCAGCAGAGGTAGTCGAGGTCCGTCAGAGCATCGGAGAACTGCAGCAGGCCCAGGTTAGCTTCAGTTCTGAACAACTTCAAACTCTGATTGTCTGGGACTAGGAGTGAGCGGGGAGGAAGCAGACATGCACACAGACATGCATCAGTCTGAACAAGTGGCAACAGATCCTAGCAAAATGAGTCATGCGGCAACATCTGCACAGTTCTTAAATTAGACTGCCAGATGTGACTTGTAAGCAGGTCAATTTAAGCTCTATTAGCAGGAGGGATTTTTTTTAAAGGATTCAATCTGTTATCCAGCTGTGGATTTTCACAGTGATCTATTTTTACTTGAACAAATCTACACTGTCAATAAAAACCTAAGCAGGCAGTGAATTGTGGATTTACACTGAAATATTTCAAACTTTACATGAAGCAGACTAAGAAAAGAAGCTCAGAGCAATCTGAATAACTGGCACATTAGCATATAGCTTCTGAAGCATTGAAGGTGAGAACAACCTTACGACTCCAAAGACACTCCGATGGCACGATAAATTCTGCCATAAATGGCATCATTCTAATTCCCAGTAGTCTAATTTTAGGCTAATTATATTAAACGGTAGTTGGTCCACAGGGGGCACTGTTGGTTATGTCATTCTAAAGCTGCTCTGGATAAATATTCCTAAGATTGATTTATTTTTAATATTTAAGAATGACAATGATGCCCTTTTTGATTTTCTGTTGCTCTTATAATGTTAGTGTTTGCTGAGTAAGAAGACCATTCTGACGTGATATTATATCAGAAGGACCTGAAGTCCTTCTTGCTGACTGAGAATGTGTGAATGTAAATATGAAAGAGTTCGCAGAGCGCCTCGCTATCAGATAATCCAGAGGGGTCATTTGGTGTTGTGGTTTCAACAAAATCTAAGTCATTCTGATGCCTTTTTTTTTTTTTTTTTTGTAGCCGTTACTATTTTTTTCTATACCGGTGTGTTTTAGTTAGTTTAGGTAGAAAAACTTCTGCCATCTGGTGTCGTTAATGGATTATCAGAAGTTTACCTTTGATAGAATTTATTCTGTTGCTTGTACAAAGTTATACTTCTAGACAATCGTACATTAGATTAGCTTCTTCACAAATATTGCACGTTTTGCAAGTTACTGAACAGAATTTTTACTTTTACATAATTTCATTTCTTTCAGGATTCAAAACATTTTGGGTTTTTGCAGCTACCAATTGCAGAATTTGACCAATGAGATGCTTGCTTGATAATTGACAAGTGATTGAAGGGAGAAAATCATTAGCTTGGGATTTACTGTGAATTTAAAATTAAATCTGAATTTAGGTTTGGCTTTTAAAACAATGCAATGCTGTTATTTGTTTGACATGTAAAGATCAATATTTGTTTTAATAAAATGCAGTGTTTTTATTGTCTTTGTTCAATTTCCTATTTAATAAAAACTCGGATTGCCTTGTGTATGAACGGCGCTATAACAATAAATTTGCCTTTTAAACATGGAGAAACATGGAATAGAGTTAGATACCAGGAGAGGAAGAAAACACCAGTAACACATAGAAATTGTAATAAAACATACTGGACCTCAATATTTGAATCACTTTGCCTGAAATAATCACTAGAGCTCATTTCTCTGTAGATGAAATAATAAAATCTGACAATTTCCAATTTCTCTGACAGTCTTCAACAAATATTTCTGACTGTTGCAGCTTATACATTTTTGTTGCAACCATCCAAAATATAAGTAACTCCCTTTGAATGAGGAGTTAAGGTAAAAACATGCACATAAAGAAATAAAAATACAAATGGACGTGTCAGAACGACCTCTGATCCGGAGCCTCGCGTGATCTCTCTAACTGTAGAAACATAATTTTGGGAGGGTAGGTTTTTAAGTTTGTTAAATAATACTTAATAAAGCAGGAAAACAAATTGAAAAACCAACTGACTACTGCATAGTAGCTTTAATAAACATGTTGCACAAATTTATAGAGTGTTATCTGAAACTGTTACACAAGTGCTGTTTATATGGAGCAGAGCGTCACAAACACTGACTCAGTTTCATGGAAATGCCATTGCTTTTAAAAACAAAGAGAGAGAAACAGGTTCAACCATAAGCCTTCAAGGAAGGAAAACGATGCATGAATGTGCAATGTTATGATAGTGGAGCATGTGTGGGAGATGTATTTAATAGGCTTGGCAGGGTCTACATGGCGCCGTGGCAAGCTAATTCACTGTAGCACAAACTACTGCTCTCCAATCCCTGGGATGCCCAACATGAAGAACATTTCTAGGGCAGAAGTTGTCCCTTTCAGATTTCACGTAGACTCATGCACCAAATCAGGTCAACAGCAAAGGATGAGCAAGTGTACGCAGGATGGTGGAGGTTTTAGCAAAAAACACATTCCACATCCTGTAGAAAAATGTCTGCATTTGATGTCTTTTGTTAGTTTTTGCTTTTGATGGAGGAAAATGGGAACCCTATAGAAACAGATATGCCTCCTCAACTTGTGACAAATGTGATTGCAAGTCATCAGCTCTCTTCGCTTCTGACAGCATTTGCACAGCGTGTGTGACTGACGAGCACAGATGGGGAAAATGTTAAATGTGACTGCCGCGTCAACACTTGAGCTAGACTAAAAGTTAGAGACGCTCAGCCTAATTTGATTTAGAGCCCCACTTCCGATTTGTCGGCCCATGAGCGTGTAAAGTAAATAAATAACTACAATTTAAAGCAGCAGAATATATTGGATTAGAACATAGTTGTCAACAGTCTTACGGATTGTGTTTCTCTGCCTGTTTGCTGTCTAAATACTGCAAACGAATGCTTAACATCTATAAAAATAAAACAAAACTGTGCCTGGTTCATGCCTACATAACAACAAACATAATTTTGTATAAGAAGCCAAGCTCTCTTGGGCGCCCTCTGCTGGCTCGGAGTCCACCAGCAATGGCTTGTTTTGTTTATATTTGTGGCCGGCTCATCATGTGGGCTAAAGTCTTTCTCTGTGCCCCACATTCACACTTGACATGCATGTTATGCAGCAGCGATCTATACAAACCGCGCACACCAGTCTTCATGCGTCCCCTTACCTAAGTGCAGCCCCTCATTGGCCATGCGTAAAGCTTCCGTGAACTCGTTCGCTTTGAGCTTCTCCTGGATTTGGCACTTGACTCTCGACTCGTCGGGCCAGCACTTTTCGATGATCCCGATGAGCAGGACGTTGTTCTTGGTGCTCCTCGCCTCCTTTTGTTTGAGCCTCTCTTTGCACAGCGGGCATTTGGAGGGGAGGTAGCCCCCCACGCACCTCCGGCAGAACGTGTGGCCGCACAGCACGGTCACCGGCTCGCACATTGGGAAGAGGCAGTTCGGGCACTCCAGCAGCTCCATGAGTCAAAACTCTGCGTTTCTGGGCGACGCAGCGCGGGAAGAGCTTCGAGCTTTGTCCGTCAAAGCGAACCCAAACCGGGGGGTGGTGGCGGGCGGAGGGGGTCAATATTGCACAGTGCTTTTAAGTAACATGCCGACGACCAGCGAACAGACTGGTCTGTGAGTTCCCCCTCCTCCTCAAGAGCTCACCTTTTAGATTCACTTTTCAAACCAAAGCTGTTCATTGAGATTGTCTTTTCGAACATGTGGCGAGTCTTTGGCTCGGCTCGAGCAGCATCTTCCCCGTCTCGGACAGTTTAAATGGACACCGCAACTCCCAGTGCGACGCGCCGCTCGCCTCGACGCTCCACACTCCGAACAGCACCGGGCCCAGCGGACCGACCAGCCGGGTCAACGAACGCGCACATTTACTGCTCCCGTGCCTTAATTGTGTGTCTCTGTCCGTTTTTAACCTCTGTAGCGACGTATCCAGAGCCACGAAGCTCAGTTACTGTATAACCCCATTACGTTACATAAATAAAAGTCACGTGACGCAGCAGCAGGCTTCACGATTGGACGAGAGCGCCGCTTTCAGCCCTGTTGTGAAACCCAAGGATCCCGTGTTTCATAACGCGTTTTTTTTTGCGACTAAAGTCCTTTTTTTAATTCCTAATTCGAAATACTGTAAACTTCTGCTTTATAGAAGCGCCATGTCGCGTTTAAAGCGATTGTGGAGTGTCGTGATTCAAAACAGGCTCAGGATTGCTACATTAACTTGACATAGTGAAGGGAATCCCAGCAGCAGATAACGACATCCTGCCTAATCATGACATCAACCTACTTGTTTGCTACTTGATTTTCTAAACAGTAGACAGGAGAAAGATCTATGATTAAGCATATCATGTGTATTTTTTTCTATTGCATATTTTAGTCTTCATTCGATGATGAATAAAAATTATAATTTTTTTTTTGCCTTTTAATGTGACTGATATCTGAACTTTGTATCGTTTCACCTGGATCCAGATTTTGTCCCATTTGGATTTTCTTGTAGGAACAACAGGGGTACAAAGTCTCTGCTTTGATAAACCTCAAAATTGTTTGGGTGTCCACCGGTCAGGGTCATTCAAGATTTAAATGTAAAGTCAAAGGCAGATTTCTGACCTCTCTCCCAGATTTATTTTCCCTTCATATTTGCAAAAGAACACCAGAAAAACCTCCTCGGTCACAATGCCACATATTTGCACCATTGCAAAGCTTTGCGTTTTCATTCTCCACAGATTCAGACCCATTATGACTCACCAGGCAGATTCATCCTCTTTGATCTTTCTCCAGTGCTGCCATGTGCGCTGTGCGAAGCGTGCACACAATCTTTCATAACTGAACACATGAAGATAACTTGCCGTCCCTTTTCCATGAAAACAAGCATTTCTCTCAACAGCGGCGGGGTGCAGTAAAAGCCGGGCCAGATAGGCAGCAAGGAAAGCGAGTTGCACGCAGTAGGTGTGCAGGAACTGACCTTATGTTGACTTCACTGAATTACATGACGTGCAAGTCACAGCATCGATGCTGTATCAAAGTATTGTGACAGGAGTGAACAGCATTTGGAGGTTTATTGAGTCTCAAGAAAATAATCCTCGAAACTAAGAACGTTAACTACAGATTCAAATTCTCTAAGTGAACATGATCTTTGCAAATAAAGGATGCAATAAGGATGCAAGAAATATCTCACAGCAGAAGTAAAGATATGATTACAGAGTACAAAAAAAACCAAGAAAACAAACTGTCTATTTTAAGCTATTTCATCGATTATACTACACATGGCGGCGTCCTTGTCCCATGTTTTGTCCCTTTTTAAGCTAGTAGTGTTTTTGTCCAGGACGCCGGCTGCCATGCAGCTGGAACCCGTTTCCTCCACGTCCATTGGTTCGCTTTTCAGCATGGGGGCCTGTCCAGAAGAACAACCAAAACTGGGCCCCGCAGACGAACTCTTAGTCCCGCTACATGTGACATCTGGACCCTCCGACTGGGGCAAGTCGTCAGGTAGGGAGGCGAGGCACCCCTGGATCATTTCCACCACTCTTTCCAAATGTTTCTGGAACCTTTCGGCCGTTTCCAGCCTCTGCCTCTTCTGCACCTCCATCATCACCCTTAGCGTCTCCCTGGCTTGGTGGGGCCGGTACTCGTTAATCAGGTGGTGCATATGGACAAACAGAAGCTTTATGTCTTCCAGCTTCTCCTCCCGCTTTAGGCTGCCCGGGCTTTTTATGAGGATGTCCAGCAAGTCCAGGAAGTTCACAAGAATGGACATGTTCAGTTTCTTGAGCTCCCGCTTGTGATCAAACTGCATAGGGTGAAGCCTCTCGATGCCCTGGCTCTCCAGGGGACGGATGATGAGGTCGTCGCACTGGAACTGGTTGCCAAACATCATATAATGGTCTCTGATGGGTGGCGGTGGCTTGGGGGCCAGGCCTTTGCGGATGTTTTCATCTGTGTACTCTTTGATGTACTGCGTCGGCGGCGGAGGCAGGGCGCTGACCTGTTGCGGCTCACCCATGATGTCAACCTGAACAACAAAACCACAAAGATGTTGTCTTGTGTCAATTCGAAAGGCTCACTTCAGACATTCCTTCAATTTTGTGTGAGCAGCTTCACTTTAAAGTATCAATGGTTATTTTTGTCCATTGGCCCCCATTTAACATGGATGCGTTTAAAATGCTTTTCTAATACATATCGTTAAATTAATCCGCAAAGAAAGCGGTTACTGCAACAAATTCACAAGCTGTTCTGTTACTAACATGAATGTTTGTTACAAAGAACATGACGTTTATTGCATTTTCCTTTGGGTTTATGTAACAGATATAAAGTTTCACAAAATAATAAAGTTGAGCTAAAGCAATACAGAGTCTTCTACCCACACACACACACACACACACACACACATCTATGTATACATATGAACGAAAGAATCCAAACTTCTTACACCAGGTACCATGTTGTTGTTTTTTCCCCCTTTTTACCTGCTCAACCATTAATTAAACATTTAACATTTTAATATTTTTTAAATCTAGTTTTAACAGTTTTTCCTTTGAGTTCTCATAAAACACAAACATAATATTTACACAAAATTAGAGCATATATAGGAGGTATATTTTTATTAATAGTTTGCACATCCGTTTTTTTTTCGCTACTCAATGGATAGTAGCAGTTTTTCAAGTGGCTGTTAAAAAAATGTTATAAACGGATATTGTGGTTGCAAAACATGAACCATTCTAATTTTCCACATCTCTGATTTTCTAAAAAAGATGCAAAATACAAGTACAGCAGCAGTCTCACACTAACTCATCCTTATTGGCAAGTAAGAAAAGCTTTCTAGTTTAGCGGTGCAGTTATAGCTTTTCACATAGTACATAATAGTACAGTGTACAAAATATCAAATTACTTGCATTACCCGTCGGCGGTTTAACATTAGAATTACAGACAACTGCCGTATCTTCGATAACTGAAGCAAGCCACACGATCTACACATTTTAATAAGCGTCTACCAAGCCATACTGTTATTGATACAAAAAAACTTAGTTGTAGAATATCATTGCGACTTCTCCAAGAGGACGCTAACATTAGACGCTAAACCTTTTGACTGAAACCCATCAAACGGTACAGTCACAACTAGCTTCGGCTAAATAGCTATATCCTTTAAATACAAATAAAGCGAACTACTTCCAAAGGTAAGTAAAAATATGTTTCTACGCACCTTACGAGCGACTCCTCAGTAGTGTGAGAGGTGAATAGAGATTTTAAACGACCTAAAATATCTTTCGATCATTAGCCCCGAGCTAGCTAGGCTGCCTAGCTTCTAGCAGAGCACAACGGCCGTTTCGATTCACACCCTATTGGCTGAACTGAGCTCGTGACAGTTTCCAGAGCGCGGATTGGACAGTGGCTGAAGGAAGGGAGAAATGAACGTTGGTTTGGAGAAGCATTGATGGTTTGTGAATCAGAATGCCATTACTGCAGTGCTATCTGTGTTTTGTCATCTATTGACGAGACTAATTTGACTTTTAAATAAAGTTATGAGGAAACCTCCTTTCTAGGAAGAATAAAAAGTACTGAGAAATGTATTTTTAGACCATGATTAGGAATAATAATAATAATAATAATAATAAACAACTCACACATAGCTGTATTATTTGAGTATACATTTCATTACAGTCTCTTTTCTTAATTAATTAAAAAATACAATGTATGATATTTACCTTACAACCTCCTTTCTTGCTCACATAACACAAACATCAATTTTGTGTTTTATATAAGTTCCTTAATAGTGTGTTTCTCACTCAAGAGAATTAATGTCAATATTGTTTCTCTTTAGCCAGTGCAACAACACCAGCCACAGTGGTACCCTTGCAAAAAGTGTAAAAAGTAATCTCAGTTATGTCCAGAGGCATAATTTAAGACTAAAGAGCAAAGAAATGTATATCTGTGTTTTTTTTTTCTGAATAAAAGAGAGTTTAAAAATAAGAAGATGAATGTTCACTTCATCCTCTTAAGGATTTCAAAGTGAGGGTTCAGACACCCAACCCTCTTCTATTCTCTGAAACATATTCAGAATGCAGCTTATTGTAACTATCAGTCTCTCATTTTATTCTGAGAAAGGTTTGTCTCATTCATCACTGTTTGACATGCTGCAGTAAAGCGTCCCCAAACCATGACACGTCCACCTCCATGCTTCACAGTCAGCATAAGATAGCTTTCCTGGAATGCTGCATTAAGTTCATACCAAGCACACTATGTCCAATTTTTTCGAACAAACTTGTATCATACAAGATGCATCTTTTTTTTTTTTTTTTGAAAGCACTCATGGGCCACAAAAATTCTTAGCATTGTCTTAAAATCAAAATCATTTTAGTGTCCAATTTACTTTACTTTTATATTCTCTACAACAAACTAAGAATGCCATAAAGTGATAAAATAAAGGTGTCTAATAGTTTATTTAGGAAATTAAGCTGTAAACCAAAACATTCAAAACATAAAAGTTTTGTACATTTGAGTTACTTAAAGAAAAAACATAATTTCTCAGATTTTGGCGGTGTCGGTTATTTTGAATAGTGCTTTAGACATTTTGTCAGTCTGTGCTTAGCAACAAGAATGCAACATGAATGACTCTTATTTCTAAAACGCTTGCAGTGTAACACTGTCCCAATGATGTGATGTGCCTCCTTTTTCCTATTTTGCAGAAAGTGTTATTGATTCATTTACTTTTTTTGTTCGTTTTAAAATAATTTATTTCGAAATATTTTTGCTGAAACTGATATTAAAATATATCCATGTCCAATTGTTATAACTTTTACACCCTGACAAGCACGGACACAAACACACACACATAGTTGTGCAACATGTAATTTACACAGACAAACTTTTCTGCTCTGCTTAAGAAATATTACCATCAACATGCTTGTGTTTTTGGTGGTAAATATTTCCTAAATACATTCAAAGAGTTACTTTTCAGTTTAGCATTTCAGAAAATATTTCCTTTCAACACATGTAAGTAAAAGTGCATGTGCATGCGTGTTGTGTGTCATTTTGTACAATCTATTTGTTGCCGCAAGGATGTGGTTGACTGTGAGCTGCAGCTTCATGCCGGAAGCTCCACGCATCTAGAAAGTTATCATCCACAACCTTTTTTTTTTTTCCTGTCGCTGCGAGGCACACTGAAACTCGAACCCATGACAAAACCATCCAGTGTTGCACTCTTGGTTCTTCAAAGCCATCAAAATGTTCCCCAGGGTGATTTTGAAGGGAACTATGATTAAAAAATCTCAACAAAAGAAAAGGACGTCACCAAGTAACTACAAAGAGAGGTTCTTTGTGTTAGATACTCAAGACCTGAAGTATTCTGAACGTCGTCCCGGGGTAAGTCCTCATTTCACTTCATTTTCAAATTGACATCAAGGGGGGCTTGGCGTGGAAATGTGGTATTTTGAACGCCCGTGGCGATTTCAATGGCTTGCACCAGACGATGTTTGCCACACGTAACGTGAAAAGCAATGTCCTTTCAGAAAAAACCCATGCTGAAAGGTTGCATCGAACTGTCCAGGATTAAGTGTGTGGAGATCGTGTTGAGCGACGTCCCTATCCCATGCAACTACAAGTACCCCTTTCAGGTAAACGCAGTAATTTCACGCAAAATGTGCTACACTGCAAAAATATACACTGCGTTTATCATATGAAAAAGTAAAAAAAAAAAAAAAAAAAAAAAAACACCCTGATGTCTTTGCAGGTTTTTCATGACAATTATTACCTCTACATATTTGCGCCAGACAACGACTGCCGTCAGCGATGGGTCCGAGCTCTTAAAGAGGGTAATTTATTTCTTCACTGACAAACAGTCACAAACTGGAATGGTACAAATTCATTCAAACTTGGTATTTGACAGCTGCTTGCAATGGGTTTTGTTTTTTCCTACTTGACACAGAGACGAAGCACAACAGCTTGGTTCCAAAGTTCCACCCAAACTTCTGGATGGAAGGAAAATGGAGGTGCTGCCAACAAAATGAGAAACTGGCGTCAGGCTGTCAGCTCTACGACCCTGAGGGTTACGGTTCGTTTTCGTTTCTTTTTCGCCTCCTTGTTAAATGCCCGTTTTTCGCTACATAACTGTTTTAAACACAAACACACAAACAGATAATAAATAATAAGCTTCAGAAAAAAAACTGTAATTTTCTGTGAGCGTTTGAACGTGTGATTAAATGCAGTGGCTTGAACTTTTCTCTACATTTTGTCCCATTACAACAACAAATCTCAACGTAGAAGATTTGGCTGTGCGTGAAACCTATCTGAAGATCAAAAAACCTAGTAATCGATGATGCAAAGAGCTTCTGACATTCTGTCGACAGGACATTTAGGGCTACAATGTATGTAGCCTTTATAGAAAAGAGGAAAGTAGAAAGTCGCTGTTGAAAAAAGGCCATGGGAAGTCACGTTTGCAGTTTGCTTCAGGTCATATAGGTGAATCAGCAAAACATTTGCTGATTCACAGATTAGAAATACTATTTTTGGTGGAAATGCACAATGCATGTCGGAAAACCTAAGCTGGTCCGCAATGTCTGATTATGCCCCGTCTTAGACATTATCCATAATTGTGAAGATAAATATCTTTAATTGGTGATCTTACATTACTTGTAATGTAAGTCCAAATAACACAAAGAAGCAAAATAAAGGGAAGACATGAAAGGAAAGATGGAAATGAATGAAAAGTAGGACACAAGGATAGATAGAAGAAAGGATTTTTTCTGACACAATTCTGGAGCAGCAAGGCATCAATTGTGGAAGTCGGGCATCCTCTTTAGTGTGACAGGTGGATAAATCAAGCCCGATTTTATTTTTATTTTGGGAGATCAGCGATCAGCCAAGAATTATATGTGAAACAGATCCGTTTAAATCTGCCACTGTCCCCGTTTGCTCTGACGGGACAGAAGGCATCTCACCAGGTCACATCTGCATGTACGTGATTATCAATAATCACCGAAGCGCTGCCAACTTATCAACATATTTTTTCAATACTGAATCAAACATTCTGATCAGGTACTTAACTTAGTAGTTAAGTAGGCATTTTACCAGATGCTTTATACTCTTACTTGGAGTAATTTCTCAAATCACTTCTTTTAACCTTTAGTTGAATAATATATGTCGAACTAGTGTTACTCTTACTGAAGTACATTTCTTGGATACTCTACCCATTTTGGCACTAAAACATAACAATAGAGCTACCAAGCACAGCAGAAGAGCAGCTGTGGGAGCCTGAATGCAGCGTCGACACACTAGGGTTTAGAAATTGGTCTGTGAGCTTTAAAATTTTTTTTAAAAGAATTTGTTATCTGCCACTTTGTGTTCCTTTGTAATAAAAACAGGAAATTAAAATTTGTGATTAAAATGTGACAAATGAAAAAAATAAAACACTCCATTAATTTTAACTTTTTTACTTACATATTGCCTTTCCAGAAAGTCCTGTTTTGAATTTTCAGCTAATGAAAGATGTCTTGTGTCCCCACAGCTTCTAAAAAGCCTCTTCCTCAGCTGCCGGATCCAGAGGTATCACTCTATAAAACTTACCTGTGCTCTGAATATTGTCAAAAAGGGTGTCAAGAGTCAAAAAAAAAAAAAAAAGTGCAGAACTTGTTGAGGTTTGTTTTTCTGTTAACTCTAGTTTATCAGTTCACATCAGTTGTTTGTAAACCAGCCATTTTCACGTCTCATCTAATCAATGATAGGAGGGCACGCTCTGCAATGCCTTGTTAGTTATCTTTTATTGCTCGCATTATGTGATTGCTAGGCTTTTTCCAGTATGTACAGAGCTAAAGTTCACCTCAGCAGTAGCGTATCAGCAACTTAAAAAAGCCTGTCACTTCGAACTGTTTGATAAATTCCCACTCATTTTACCAGGATTTTCTTTTTATTCGAAGGCATCGTGCTGATGCTTAGCTCGTCTTGTCTTGGGCAGATGGGGCTGAATGATTCAGGAGATCGGATGGTCATCGCTCTGCAAGACTACGCACCGCAGAGAGACGATGATTTGCCTCTTCAGAAAGACCAGGAGTATCGGCTGATCAATAGCTCCCACTCAAACTGGTGGACTGTGCAGGATGACAGGGGGTAGGGCTTAATCATGAGGCCACAGCTGTCTCGTGCGTGTGTTTGTTCTTTAAACTCAATTTTCGTGTACTTCATCTGCTGCTTCTTGTTTCCTTGACCCCTGAAACAGAAACGTGGGGTTTGTGCCCAGCACGTTCGTGGCCGAGAAAAACGGCAAGAACTTTGAGCGATTTGAGTGAGTTTACTTTTCCTCTCTCTCTGCCCACTTCGGCCCCGAAATATGTCTGTGTAAGTCCTCGTTTGCTCTTTTGATAACAAGTTTGGGTCATATTATCCTGTCCTTTT